GTCTGAGTATGGGCGGGAAGAAGTCCTAATTACCTATTTGAATACTGTCCTCTGTGTACACAGTTAAGGTATAGGCATCAATCATATTTCACACCTTATAGACATTTCAAAATGGGGAATATAAATTATTAGACATGTCTTCAATGTCAAGCAGTGGTAGGAAAATTCTACATTGTACATGGTGTATGCCTTGAGAATGTAGGAAAATAAGGCCAGTCTGACATGGTCACTAGCTTTATTGAAGATGGTTTCTGACTTTCAAATATCTCTTCCTGTTTATCGGGTATTAATGATGATGAGAAAATGGATAAACCAAGATTTTTCTTACTTATTCACTTACTTTAACTTATGCCAGGAAATTAATACTATTGCAATTGATACACACTAAACCTTTATACTTGAGTGCTTGGAAGACGATGGTCAATGAAGCAATTCCACACTATAAGCTTACATACATATCCAAGGAATGTCAAAAGGAATTTCTTTAAGCATGGTTTAGATGGCTTGAATTCACAGTGGATGCTATCCAATGTGTAGGAGTGACTTCACAATCACATTATACAGTAAATAAAAAGAAGATTGCACAGAAATCCTCAAACTAGAGCCTGTATGATCATTTTTAGACTTGGCTTTCAGAGGAGCAACAATTTTCAGCAACTGTACATTGTGATGATATGCTTAATTTTACATAATTTCACTGGATTTGTAGGCTTTAACAGTTGATACATAGTTGTTTACTAACTGATCAAAATCTGTATGTGTGTGATCACAAGTAATTACAAAAAAGTACCTGAACCCTTTTTTATTAAACATCCAAAATGAAAATGTATTATAATATTTAGATATAGTATTTATATGGATGATAAAAATATAAATAGATAGTAGATCAATCTAATTATAATTTTTTCATTGCATTGCATATATGTTTAACTAGAGGAAGTATCCTTGAGTTAGAAAGGTTAAAAATGGCTTAGAGTAAAAGCATACTAAATAATGTTTAAGGCAGTGATTTATTCAAAATGTACACTTCGATAATGAGCCAAAGTGCTAATCAGTGCCCAAAGATATAGAATAATAAATTCAGCAGTGTGGCACATATATTTTCAGCATAATAACTGCAGGTCTAATGATTTAATTAATCAAAATATACAATAATTGTTACTTTCTTTATTTGTTTAAAACATGAAACTTTAACTAATACAAATCTGTGCAAATGACAACTATCACCATACCTGCCAAGTTGAAATCAAATGCATGGGAGCAGAAGCCCAAATTCTTACATTTTTTAACTGCCTTGTCATCAGGGATAAGACCTTTATTAATTATCCTGCTAAAAAATTCCTTTGGCGGTTGAAGGAAATTAGTTTAAAAGCAGGATATTTGTGTCATTAATACATCTTATGTTACATGCACTAGCTTGTAAAGGTCATCTTATCCATTCCTTTATCCAACTGGGCCACTTTGAGTTGTAAGCAAATATTAAAAACTAAAATACACAATGATAAAAGTTTAAATGTGATATCTGTTACATTAATTAGTTAGTTTACCGAAAATTAGAATTGAAGAATTTAAAAGAGAGTGCTTATCTATTGATAATTATACATATTTGCAAATATGTAATTAAAGCAGTACTGTGCACTACATACTGACAAAATATGTAGCTCAATCAACTGGAAACTAAAAAGGTCTTATTTGAAAACAACATTTTTGGAAGATATATATAAATGTACCAAAACTGTATATGCATAAAACAAACTTTAAATAAATCTCTGATGCTTTAATCAACAAAAAATAATAATACATGTGTTTTTAAAATAGTTATACCTTTTTATTTGTATATATTAAAAGTATATGAAAAAATTTCTCCAGTCAACTTGTAAGTGATTGGGACTTGAAATGTAGGGTCCCTGGAGGCCACAAGATTTGGGTTGATGAGTTTTGTGGGATAACTGCTTCCTCAAGAAGTTGGAACTCCACCAATAGACTAATCACTACGATAATATATAAAGAATGCAAATTAAACATTGTACAAATATATATATATATATAATATATACTCTCCATGACCTAACACAAATTTTATATATATATATATATATGTGTATGTCTCAAATGATAATGAAACCACATAAATTCAACACCCTAACCCCTGTTTGAAGAAGGGAAATTAAAAAAAAAAAAACAAGCCAAGCCTCAGATACAGTATATGTATATGACAATTGAGATACGCTCCTATGTATGCCCCATATATCTGGGGTTTGTTTGTTTGTTTGTTTTTTTCTTCCTTTTTTTCTCTTATTTTTACTTCTTCAAACAGGGGTTAGGGTGTTGAATGTACAGCATATGGCTTCATTATAATTATTTATATATATATATATATATATATATATATATGTGTGTGTGTATGTACTGTTTATATACACACACACACACACATATATATATATATATAAGGCGATAGAACGTATATGTGATTTTTTTTAATATATTTTTGTGAAATATTTAATTAGCATTCTTTTAAAATTATTGTGGTGATTAGTCTATTGGTGGAGATCTGAAGTCCTGACGAAGCGGGTGTTCCATGAAACGCGTCAATCCAAATCTAGTGGTCTCCAGGGACTCTACGTTTCAGGTATGTGTGACTATTTTTAAAGATGTTTATCATTATTTTTTGTTGATTAACCCATTGGTGATATAATTTAAGTTCCTTTTATACATATTCTGTTTTGGTTCATACTAAATTAGGGATAATAGTCTTCACTGTGTTATATAATATCACACCACTCCCCTATTCGAGTTTATACCCACTTGCCAATAGAGGAGTCATCACAATGTCCCCAAATCTTATCTTACAGGGAGTTTGGGGTGGTTATGGGCTCCAAATAGAAAAGTGTATAGATTATGCAATCATACAGATTGTGAAATCTTATATATTGTATTCTGTATAGAGAGAGGAATAGGTGACAATCAGTGTAAAAAACACACTTCTACCCCATAGAAACTAATACTAAAACTATATCTGTTGGAAAGCATAAGTACACAAACAAGGTGGCATGGTTATCAGATAGATCATTTGTTAAGCACAATAAGTGTTATACTTATAACCCACATTTCTGGCATATCAAGGAATTAAAATGACTGTTGGAGTTCCAGAAAACGGATTGTTGGATTGTAATAAATGACTAAGCATCTCTAATAATATACTGTATATTATAAAATATATGTTCTGTAAACAATATGTATATACATACAACATTACTGTCACCATTTCACAATTAATAAACCAACATGATACACATTTTCTACAAATAATATATATTAAACAAATAAAACAAATTATATAAATGATGTAATGACTGACAGTGTAATCACTATTTTTCCATTGTGATGTGACATGGATCACCTCCATAACCTCAAGCGGCCTTGTTTTGCAAATCTTTTTCCATTATGTGATTTCCACATGTTTTAAATACAATCTATCATTTTCCATTTCACTTTTAATTAATACTTTGCTGTTAATTATTACTCATTATCCATGCTTTTCTAAAATAAAATAAAGCTTCACTTACACTAATGTTTTATGAGATATGACCTATAAAGCCATTCGTTGTTAGTATATTGGAATTTAATAACCAATCAAAAAGCAATATACAGTTACTTAGAATAAATCATCTTAGTAATTATCTTCTAATTTGTTTGTGATAGACGCATAATCCAAATGTGACAGCCAACAATGATTTAGCTCCTTTGTATAAATTAAACAGGATAGAACAGCAATACATGACAAGCTTCCCAGAAGCAAAGGAATAATATGTTATCTTTCATTTATGTTTGGTATCTCTCCCTCAGATATTGCAAATTAATTCAAATTTATTTTTCTTATCAAATCAGTTACACTGGCTGATTTCCTCTCCAATAAGTGTATGTAAAGTATCTACTCTACATGGAATAACACAATTTTAGTGTAAATAAATGAGATAAAATAAATGCTGCAAGTAAGTGACAAATCTATCGTGGTACACATTGCAGATAAAATAATAGAAGGCATAGTGTGGTCTGTGTAGAAACTTTTCACACCATAAAAAAATGTCTAAATGTTACTGATAAGATTAAAAAAATCCACTTTCTTGGCTTTGTGAGATATAAATATGGAGGTTACACAGTTCATAATAATCCATTACAAGATGTTTTTATACTTTATAGTCAAGTAGCATACAGTATGTGCTTTCAAGGGGGTTGAGTCACTAATGGCAAATATGTTGTTCACTTTGCAAGGGACATTGTACTTTGCAAATTAATTCCACAAAGAATACCCAATCATGTGCAAGGAAAAAAAAATGCATTTTCGCTTACACATGATTGGTTGGTGGAAGTCAGCAGAGATTCACCTCATTCACTGAATTGTTTGGAAAATTCCTTTGCAAAGTGCAGCTTCCCTACAGCTGCATATTAACCATTTCAAGTCCGGACACTTTTACCCCCTTCCTGTCCAGGCCAATTTTTAGCTTTCAGTGCTATCACACTTTGAGTGACAATTGCACGGTCATGCAACACTGTACCCATATAACTTTTTGAGCATTTTTTTTAGACAGATAAAACTTTATTTTGGTGGTATTTACCACTGGGATTTTTTTTTTTTTGCTATATAAATGAAACAGTCTAAATATTTTGCAAATAAATCATCTTTCTTCATAAATCTTGGCCAAAATGTATCCAGCTATCTTTTTAGTAAATCAAAATAGCCCAAATTAGTTTTATAACCAAAAATTATAATTTTTCTAAATTTTTATTTACATTTTTATTTTATTTTTTATATTAATATTTATTTATTTTTTTAACATACTTTCACCTTAGCAGTACAACTTGTGGGGGGTGATGAAGATTACTTTTTATTTTTACACTGATTGTACCTATAAAGGCTGTAAAAGCAATCATTTCTTCTTCTCTCTGGCTGCATTCTTGCAGCCATTGAGAAATACTGTGTGAGCTGTGATTGTTCACAGCTTGTCACATGGTACAAGGCTGTTGTGAATAGCCTTGTACCATGTGACCTCTGTGATCATTCACAGATTTCACAAGTAATAGGCAATGATGTTAGAAGTGACAACTTGCTTACTACTCTTCATGTGATCACTGATTGGCCAACCAGTGATCACATGATCGGGACCTCATACAGTGACCTCCAGACACAGCAGGCTCTAGATTGCGGTGCTGCGCAATCCAGGGGAGCGCGCACAGGCTGGGAGGACATTTATAAATGGCCACCCGCTCCTGCATTGCTCCCGTCCAGCCATTTATATACATGGGTCGGACGGGAAGTGGTTAATATGGCTAAGAAATATTGCTGCATCCTGTTAATTCACCTGATGTGACCTAACAGTAATACCTTCTGATCTCTGAAGATAGACATTCACTGTGAGGTATATAATTTGGAATCTCTGTTGATGTCATACAAGTAGAATAAACAGTATTTGTTTGTAAAGACACAACAGTTACACAATTAGCCATTGCAGCAGTTAAAAGAATTGTGGAAGTGCCTGTCTGAATGAGGACTATATCAAGAAGGACAAACTTCATCTCCATAAAACCCAGCTTGCCGATTGCATCTTTAAGGCTTAGCGCTTTATCAATAATATTTAAAACCATTTTTCTCTCACAGCTGCAACTGGAACAGCACTGGCTACTGGCTTAAGGTTTTTTAGATGTGCTAATGTTCTTTTAGTGATTTTGTATGTGCTAAATAAATATGCACTGTGAGTTTTGCTTCTAATTCATGAATTAATTTCTTGTGTTTAGGTGGGTGATTGTGAGTAAAATTGAGACAGTTTCACCAGCTGAAAGCTGGTGAGTTTTTTTAGTTGGCATTCAAGCTATTAACCTTATGGAAGTTTAAGAAGAGTTTCAGTGGCTACAAAGTGGGTTCATTGGTAAGCATATATGATTTTGTATTTTTGTTCCCAATGGGGTAGGTAAATGCAGACATGCTTATCATGGCCCTAGATAACTTACCTAGCTTAGGGTTGCCACCTCATTCCTTTAAAACTGACCAAATATTAACTACACAGGTTCTGAGGCTAATTTAATGTTGATAAGGCCTTGAGTTTAATTATTAACCTCAGAACCTGTGTAATTAATATGTGCTCGGTTTTAAAGGGATGAGGTGGCAACCCTAATCTAAATGCATCATAAAACAACCAGAAATCAACCTTGTGGAACACACCTTGCACCTTTATTGCATCTTCTTGCATTTTAACATGTGAAAGTGCATGCTGACAGGTGAGTAAAAATGTTCACCTGTGAACTACATTGGTAAACATGCACACAGTTTCTAATTATAGTCTAATTAGAGTCCAAAATTTATGTTGCAGGCAAAATCAGGTCAAACAAAGACTCAAGGCCCAAACAAATAATTCTGAGCAGTGCAGATTTGACTGCAAAATGCACTGTTCACTGTAAAAGCCAATTCAGATGAACCCTTACTCTGCTCCTTTTTAAAAATATAAAAAAAATTATCTGGCCTTCTTTCTTGTTTTCCACTTTTCTATCAGATTAAGGCTGGTAATGCACTGTTCATTTTTTCTGTTCAGCCCACTGGCTGGACGGGCTGGCTGGAAACAAACCAAGTGGATGAAGGAATCCCAACCCCACCCCTATTGGGACATTGCATTTTGACATACACTGATTAATGGCTGCAGTGCTGATCTTTAGAACATTTTCTGACATGTCCCTTTGACAGAAGTCAAATAAAAAATCGATTTGAATTCATAAGAGGAGGACATACAGTGATTGAAATTCAGCTGGTCAATCAGTGTATGACCAGCTTAAGCCATCTAAAAATGGCAAGCGTATAATGTAACTAATTAAAGCCATTAGGTGGTTTATATAGATGTGAAATTTAGTGTGCACACACTAATAAAGTAGTGACTAGGGAGACGCAGACATGAGACACATTTGGAAATTCCTGCAGGCAGCTGTAGTACTGCAAGTCTGGAGGCATTAGTAGCAGATTTTGTAAAAATTATTACTCTTTTTTGCTGTCACCTGGCATGAAGTGGTTAAAACAGGCTAACAATCCTCTTTAATATGCCATAGGATGCAGAATGCAAAATACAAGAAAAAAGTAACCACCATTTAAATGTGATGTGCCTCATTTAGGGCTGCCATACTGTATATGAATTAGCAGGGACTGGCCAAATGTCAATCCATGTATTGGGAGGCTGGCTTGCAGAAGTTAATCTACTGATCAACTTCTGTGAAACCAGCCTGTTAAGTTTTCCTGAATGATCAATGTAGCCAGCTATAGCTGGCAATACTGGTCAGTGTATAAGGACAGCAGGGAAGTATCCCCACTATCAGAACACAATAGCACAGTGGGATCCATTCTTCCATTTACATTGATTGTGTAGATGAGTAATCAAATCTTTTTTTCATTCAACCCACTGGGTGAAAGAAAAAAAAAAAGTATGACCAGTTTAAGAGAAGCTCTCCTATGTGTCCAATCAAAGCAGCTTAAAGTTGTATAACACATTATTTATTTGGATTTATTTATTGAAGGTGTGACAGCACCATGGGAAAGCACCATGAAAGTCAATCTCAACCCAACCAGAAAGGCCCACAACTTTGGAATAATAACAAAATGTTACAAAGCAGTATAAGATTGCAGAAAAAATTATTTTACAAAGAATTACACATTTAAAACATGTATGCATGATTAAGGTCCAAGACACACCCAATATAATTATTGATTGACCCACGGAGATAGATTAGATGAGCTTTTTATCCACTTGCTGCCCACTCACTATATATAAACTGTGGGTGGATGGCACGAGAAGGCAGGATCACCTATATGTGTATCATCCAGCCTGCTATGGGTCAGGAGCATGCAACTTGCCCCTCCTGTGACCAGTGGACACAGCAAATTACTGTTACTGGTAACCGGTAATCGTGATTGCTATGATTGGTCATAGCCATGACATGATAACAATGTAAACAACCTGTCATGAATAGCTTTCTGTTCATGAACAGCTTGCTTACTGGTGTGGTCTGTAATTGGCCCACAGAAATAACATTGTACCTGGCTACCTGTACCATGTGATTAGCTGTAGGCAATCACAGATCACAACCATAAGCAATCTGTTCATGAATAGGAAACCCATTCATGACAGCTAAAACTATTTCTTATACAGCGATCATCACTGTATTAGAAATACAGTAACAGTGTAAAAAAAAACTCTGATCACCCCCCCCCCCCTCCAGAGTAGTACTTTGTAGTACTACTCTAATGACACGATGTAAAAAAAAAAAAAAAAAAAGAGAGAAAAAGTGTTTAAAAAAATAAAATAACAAAGTATTTTTTAAATAATGTCACCAATCAATATCCTTGATCATTGCCATACCATATGATGATGCTGTATTGCACTGGTCACAGTGTATAAATACATATGAAAAAAAGATTCTTTCATTTTTTCACTTTCCAAAATGCTGTGACAAAAAAATACAACTTCGAAAGACTTGCTATGCTATCTTACTAAATACCTCAGACTGTCTACTTTCCAAAAAGTTGTCATTTGGGGGGAATGTGTACTGTTCGGGCATTTACGGGCTTCAAGAAATGAGATCAGTACATAAGGATTGATCAATTTTTAAATAAACTGTACATATACCAGAGTTGTTAGATACTATAGCTTTAACACAAACCAATTAATGTACACCTAATTGGATTTTGTTTTCTTTTTATCAAAGAAATGTAGCAGAATACACTTTGTTAATTTATGAAGAAATTATTATTTTTTTTAATATTTTTTATTGGATATGCTATTTAGTAGAAAGTAGAAAATATTGTTTTTGTTTTAATTTTCATTCTTTTTTCATTTACATAATAAAATATAAAATAACAGTGGTGATCAAATACTACCAAAATAAATCTTTAATTGTTGAAAAAAACTTACAGAAATTTAATTTGCATACAGTTCTGCATGTCTGTGCAATTTCAAATTAAAGTAGCACAGTGCTGAATAACAAAAATTCCCTGGCCATGAAGGGGGTAAATCCTTCTGGAGAGCAAGTGGTTCAATTCAGAGGATGTTATAGAAATTGGGTGAATTGTTGAGTAAAAAAGGAAAAAAAGACTCTTATTCTTTTAATTGAACCACAAGACAACATATGCGTTCTCCAAAACATGCATTGGGGTGTGCTAGGAGGCATGTGTAGTGTGTAGTAGAATGCCTTTTATCATGAATAGAGTTGCACTGAATAGAAAGACAACACACATATATAATCTGTTAACATGAGGTATAATATGAATGCAGAAGTGTGAAGGGCTCTAAGGCAGTGACTGGTCAAGCTGCTTCAGGCCAGTCAAGTTACTATAAGTTTTAAGTTTTATGCTTTCAGCTCTAAAGTTCCAGAAGCAGAATCAATCCCGCTTTAGCTTCATTTTAATACACGTGGAATAGGTTTTACAGCTCTCCCCCTAGCCAGATAGGGGATATGAGCACAAAGTGGAAACATTTAAGTGCATAGTATTCTATTAAAACCAAAATACCTGACAGGTCATTTTTTTTAAGATATGATAGAACATGTCGTTAATACTACTATGATTAAACAGAATCGATCAGAACAGCAATTTTGAAAATGCCAGTACTGAGTTGTCTTACAAGAAGGTAACTAGTGAAGTTGGAACTCACAACATCAAGTACCCAAGTAACTCTATGGGATGTGTTTCACAATATTTTTTTTGTCTGTTAATTAGGTCACTCTCTTGTACATCAAGATCCATAGTGAGTCAAGATACTTAAACTGTACATTGTGTTGTAAGTACTGCTTAGCATGTAATTTGTATATATTATGTACCTCTATCAATAAATGTATATTGCAGATGAAACTCTCTTTTGTGTAGGAATTCTCAGATCTAGCTGGATATATGTAAATACTCCTACAAGGATTGGGGTATATTCACAAATACACAGAACCTAGTCAACATTGTGGTGAACAGAAAGGCCTCCTTCATTAAGGCTGCAATGTAAAAATATATAGTATTAATTAGCAACATCACTGTAATGTATGCATGGACAACAGTATAACATCATTAGACACAATTATTATCAAAAGTCCAAAAAGGAGTCTCATTCTTAGCATAATACACAGTAGGGTTTTTTTTTTTTATTGTTTTGTTAAATTTCTGGACTATATAATCTGTCTGGCTCACTCTTTCCTTTGTTTTTGATGCATTTATAACAATTTCAACTCAAACCTTACACCCTAATGCCCAATTCCAGGCTAATACTTTGTGACTGGGCCCAAGGATATGTTAATAAAGTAACTCAGGACACAATACTCACCTTTCACCAAGAGCTGCCCCCCCACCCCACAGTAATCTTTTTTGACACTCATTCTTCTGAGTTAAAGGCTAACTTCACCTCTTCCAAAAATAATAAATATACTGTATTTTTGCAGGTAAAAATGTACATTTGTTATTTTTTTTTGAAGTCTGCAGAGCATTGCACCATGATCAGCAGATTGTAGGTACAATGTCAAGCTCCTGCAAACTCTCTGAACTGTACTGTACTGAAGAGCAGGGAGAATCAATAAAACTTTAAAGGCATGCATCTGTGTCTTCATAGTTCATTGAGAACTACAAGCCATCTGGCATGGTGGAAGATCCCTGTGAATAAATTATGCAGCTTTGTGGGTGGAGCCCTGCACAATTGTGACAGCAGATGTGGGGGGGAAGGTCCCCTGCACACTGTCATGGGGCAATATTGGTGCAGGCAGGAGCAGGCAGATGCTCTTTAGCAACATGTTATATTACACCCTAAATACTGGTGTGACGTGTACCATATTAGTAAAGATGAACTCATCCTTTGAATGACTCCTGGTGCCACTTTGGCCAGAAGGACATACTGTTAGTGAATTTATTCTCTCTTGAGAAGAGGAGATTAAGGGGGGATATGACCAACATGTATAAATACATCAGTGGTCATATAGTGAACTCGGTGTAGAGCTATTCACCCTGAGGTCATCACAGAGGACAAGGGGGCACTCTTTATATCTGGAGGAAAAGACATCTCCTCTTCTCAAGAGAGAATAAATTCAGTTCCTCTAATCTTTCCTCATAGCTGAGCTCCTCCATGCATCTTATCAGTTTGGTTGCCCTTCTCTGTACTTTGTCCAGTTCCCCAATGTTCTTTTTGTGAATTGGTGCCCAAAACTGAACTGCATATTCCAGATGAGGTATAACTAATGATTTGTACAGGGGTAAAATGATATATCTCTCTCTGGAGTCTATACCTCTTTTAATACAAGAGAGTATTTCTCACTTTAGAAACCGCAGCTTGGCATTGCATGCCATTGTTAAGCTTGTGATCTAGCAGAACTCCCAGATCCTTTTCCACCATTGATTCCCCCAGTTGTACTCCCTCTAGAATGCATAGATCATAGAGGTAAACAAAGACCGGAACTGCTCTGTTCACCTCTATGAAATAAAAAACCAGAGCAATGAGCATACTTCACTTTCTGCTTCTCCGGATGTAAATGGTGCCATTTTTAAAAATGAAAAAGCATTTGCAATGCTTTTAAGGGCAGAGGAGAGATCTTCCCATAAAGAGTATCTGTCACTGCCTATTGCTGTCACAAGGGAAGTTTACATTCCTTGTGACAGCAATAAAAGTGATTACAACATTTTTAAAGCAACAGTATAAAAAAAAAAATAAAAAATGTAAAGAACCCCTGTCCCGCCATGCTCACGTGAAAAGATGAACATGTGTTGGTCCCACAAACGCGCACACAGCGATCGTCCTACACATGTGAGGTATCACCAGAATCTTGGGCAGTAATTCCAGCACCAGACCTTCTATGTAAATCTAAAGTGGTAACCTGTAAAGGCTTTTAAAGTTCTGCCTATGGATAGTAACATTTTCATTGTTTGTCACTGTTGCAAAGGCGTGCACAATTTTAAAGTGTGACATGTTTGGTATCTGCTTACTCAGCATAACATCATCTTTCATATTTTACCAAAAATTGGGTTATGAGTTTTGGGTAATTGTTGCATTAAAATTAATTTTTCCGACAAAAAATTGCATTTGCAAAACTGCTGTGCAAATACAGTGTGACATAAAAAAAATGCACCTATTTATTCTCTAGGCTCTCTGCTTTAAAAAAAAATATATAATGTTTATGGGTTCTAAGAAAATTTCTAGCAAAAAATACTGATTGTTCATGTAAACAAAAAGTGCCAGAAAAGGCATGGTCTTTGAGCGGATATTCTTATAATGGCAAAACTTATCTGTAAAATTAGCTGCTTTAATAAACACTACAACTGTATCAAATATATTTTAAAATGTAAACATTTCTAGACATTTAATTATAATAGCCTTTTGGATGCTCTGGTAAAATTTAAATGTTATTATTGTTTCAAATGATGCATTGTGCCTTTCTCCTTATGGTGGCTTGCACAGCACTTTGTTTTTTTGCCCATAAGCTATGGAAACTGCTTCTGTTCTATTTATGCTGAGAACAGCAATTTGACATTGAGTCTATTAGAGCTAGTATACAAGGTTATTTTATGCCAATTATCAGTGCTTGGGTAACTACATGATCTTTTGAATAATTATGAGCTCTTAAGACAGACACAGTTCTATGATAGGACACAACATCAGAATGTATACCTCTCTAACGAGTATTCTTTCGCCCATTATTATCAGATGACTTGACAGGAGCTGCAGGGCTAGAGTCAGTTCAGAAAGAAACAGATATTTTGTTTCATACACCAGTATTTCTAAGATTTACACCAAGGAAACAGTTTCAACTGCCTGAAGGGGCACATGTCTGAAAACAGCAGTGACAAAATAAGTGTTTCCATATGTATCTAGTAAATATCTTGGGATTTATTTTTACTGTCTGATCTAAACCTATTAACAATGTAAACTTTATAAACTGTAACAAGGACTTGTTATGTTAGTATTAGTATGAATTATTAATATAGCTAATGTTTCAGATTGCAACAAATTATAATACAATTATTTGCAACATAATACAATTATGTAGTGGGTAGGTAGTGAAAATAAAGCTTTTACACAATGTATGACAGGTGTGGTATCTGGATAATTTAATTGGGAGGAGGGTTCAGGGCCTATCCAAAATACACAATACATATTTTATCTTCCAGATAACCCAGAGATGTCTTGCAATCTCCCTGGAAAAACTAACCCTTTGTCTGCCATGGGCTGTTTATAAATGTCCTGGTATCCCAATAGGTTAAAGCAAGCTCACAGCTGCTGCTGAAGCTGTGAGCTTGGTCCCGGGTTTTGGATCTGCAAGGGCTTTCAGATAAAAGTAATCACAGTTATAGGGCTCTGAAGGACCACCCCCCTATCCCCCACTAGAGGTGCTCGAGGTGAGTTCCAGGCTTTCCCCCAATGATCAGCTACAACAGAGAGAGACTATTGAATCCAAAAGCAAAACCTTTATGATAGCAATAACGCTATGAAGCAATGAGGGGAAAAAATATGCAAGACATGTACACCTCAATGCAAATGCACAACACAAGGTCATGCATGTGTATGGAAACAATTCTAGGGCCATCATTCATGGTTAACTTTAAATTTGTAAAGGTTTTTAAAGTGTTGCCTATGGGGAAATTTGGGTACCATTGTTTTTCACAATGTCACAGGTGCATGTCGTTTTAAGACTTTAAAAAAAAAAAATAGATGCAATATTGTGTTTGTTTGCACTGAACCTGATTTACTGTGATGTTTCTTGATACAATGTGTTTGATAAATAGTTCTGCAAATATTGTATATAAAATGTTGATACTATCACTATTTCATTCTCCAGATCTCTGCTTTGTAAAAATATATTTTGTATTATATATAGATATACTGTATATTGTTTGGAGTTTAATGTAATTTCTTTAAAAAATTAACATTTTATTATGTGTTTAAAAAAAACTAAAAAACATTGCCCTGGTAGACAAATGGCTAAAGAGAAACTGCCACTTTGGTAAAAACTTTCTTGAAATATTTTTCCTTTTCATAAATCATTTTTGTTTAATTGCAGTGTACTTTTGAACTTAGTAACAATTTTGACTACTTCAAAATAAGTCTATTCTCTAGCACAGCTCCATCTCTCCTTGCATGTCTTAACCCTCTGCTCTTCTGGTTATGTCTAATTACTGTCTGTGCTACAGCAGCATCATCTCAATCTGCTCCTCACCTCCCTAATTAAACTTTTAAATAGCTTCCAAGGGAGGAGCAAAAGGGAATGCACTGGAGTGTCACTTGAATTACAGCTCTGAGCAAGGGTAACCTGACCATTTGGAAATCGGCACTGCCCGAGGGCTGGGGGTCAGTAGGGGGCCCCATGAGATGCCCCTGGTACCTTTTTCATAGGCTTTTTTGAGTTTGGGCAAGGACACAGGGGCCCCATGATCCCATATTGCCTGGGCACCCCATGAGTTGTCAGTCCGCCCCTGGCTCTGAGTCAGCTAGGGCTATTGACATCACCAAGGGGGCAGTGCCCGGTAGCAGTCTCAGGTCTTTTAGGTGTCTACCTATCTGAGGCCTTTATAGGTAAAAAAAATTAAATGCATTTAATGCATATATAATCTTATACTAAAAAAATATTGTTGTTAAAATGAATGATCTGGTGGCAGGCTCTTTAACCACTTCAATACCAGACACTTTTATCCTCTTCCTGTCCCAGCCAATTTTCATGTTTCAGCGCTCTCACACTTTGAATGACAATTGCGCGGTCATGCAACACTGTACCAAACTAAAATTGTATCATTTTGTTCACACAACTAGAGCTTTCTTTTGGTGGGATTTAATCACCACTGGGGTTTTTATTTTTTGCTAAATTACCAAAGAAAAGATCGATCATTTTGAAAAAATTTTGAAAAAAAAAACCCACATCTTTGTTTCTGTTATAAAAGTTTGCAACTAAATAATTTTTCTTCATCGATTTAGGCCAAGATGTATAGTGATATATTTATTTGGTGAAAATAACCCAAATCAGTATTTATTATTTAGTCTGTTGGAAAGTTATAGAGTTCACAAACATGGGATATATCTGAAAATTGATCAGTCCTGAAGTTCTGACAGCCAATTTTTTTTTTGTTTCTGTTATAAAAGTTTGCAAATAAATAATTGTTCTTCATAAATTTAGGCCAAGATGTATTCTGCTACATTTATTTGGTGAAAATAACCCAAATCAGTGTTTATTATTTAGTCTGTAGGAAAGTTATAGAGTTCACAAACTATGGGATATATCTGAAAATTGATTAATCCTGAATTACTGACAGCCAATCTAATTTCTTGAGGCCCATAAATGTCAGAACAGTACAGATATCCCCCAAATTACCCCTTTTTGCAAAGTAGACAGTTCAACATATTTCATAAGAGGCATGGCAAGTTTTTTGAAGTTGTAATTTTTTTGTCATAATTTTTCAGAAAATGAAGGAATTAAAAAAATAAATTTTCACAAATTTTTTTTTTACATACTGTACAGCGTAATCATATAACTGGTGTGGTGGTGATCATTGACACTGACTGGTGACAGTACAAAAATAAATATAATTTTATTTCAATTTGTTTTTATTTATTTTTTTATTTTTTTTTATTTCTTTTTGTTAAGATTTTTTTTTCATATTGCACTATGACCAAAGTAATATAATGTTACCATAGTAACATTGTACTACTTTGGGGAAGTGATCAGTATTTTTTTTTACACAATTTGATTGATTATAGAAAATAATTTATTTGCTATAAGCAAGCATTTAACTGAATGAAATCGATTAATTCAGTGTTTTTTTTTGTGATTAGCTGTGATTGGCCACAGCTAATCACATGACACAGATGAGCTGTGACTGGCCCAGTGTGTGCATGTGATCGCTGACCATTCACAGCTAGATACACTTGTATACAATGGATGGCATGAAAGGAAACCATCCACTGTATACAACTGTCATGTGACCTGCTGTGATTGGTCACAGCAGGTCACATGGTACTGGTAACGGGGCCGGTACACAGATCTGTCATCGGCCGTGTCCAAGGTACATGGCCGGTGACAGATCTCGCCACAGCACGGCCCTACAGGCATGCGTAATACATGTTCTGGGAAGGACTCCATATGGCGTCCTTCTAGAAGGACTAAGTGTTTGCCCGGCCGCCATTTGGCCATAGGCCGGGCGGCAACTGGTTAAAGTTAATCTGTCACAGGATAAATATTGGGGCATCTGCTATGGACCTCATTCTAAAAACAATACAGGCCTAGCTGTTATGAAGCTCTCTACGCACTGTTGTTATGATAATCTGAAGGTCACATGAAGTTTGAAGGTCTTTAGCTATTGACTCTGCAGATCGTTAGCGACTTCTGCACACTGTCCGCTCCAGCTTGCACTGACCCTGTTCTGTCATTTTACGTGGCCTACCACTTCATGGCTAAGTTGATGTTATTCCCAGTTTCTTCCACTTTGTTATAATACCACTAACAGTTGACCGTGGAATATTTAGTAGCAAGGAAATGTCATGGATGGACTTATTGCACAGGTGACAACCTATCACTGTACCACACTTGAATTCACTGAGCTTCTGAGAGTGACCCATTTTTTCACAAACGTTGTAGAAGCAGTCTGCCTGCCTAGGTGCTTGATTTTCTACACCTGCGGCCATGGAGGTGATTGGAAAACCTGAATCCAATGTTTTGGAGGGGTGTCCCAATACTTATGGCAATATAGGGTATGTTAAATGAGAGGCACATAAACAACTGCAGTCAAAGCTAGTTTTGTTAAACAAAGATAGTTTTCACTTGATTGGATAAAGTAAATACACGTTCATGGCATTGACTGAACTAAGTGAACATTTTTTCTATCTCCTTAGTAAATTAACCTCTTTATATTTATCCATACACAATACCTAAAAAGACTTCAGGCTCTACCTAGTTATGAAGTTCAACCCAATTAGCAACAAGATGGTATTTGTTGCTTTTTTTTTCTACCTTTTTTTTCTTGAACCTTATCTGCTAACATGAAATATTAAATTTGATATCATATGCATGTTTATGATTTCTTTACATATACTAGTCATACCACTCTTGTGTATTTGCAATATCCTTGAACATAGATTTAAAATTAACTTAACATCACAAAGAGAGTTACATCTTAACACTTCAGTAACAAGATGTCTTTGTCTGAAGCTGATAGACAGCAGTAATGGGTATATAGCTGTTGCCGAACTATTTCTTAGGAATGTCAACTTGACAGTGCACTTAGGCAGTTAGTAAATGATTTTAATGGAGGTAACTACCATATATTCCTCTGTAAAGGTTTGTCATTTTACAATATTATGGCCAATTTCTGAACAAATGATAGCAGTGCACTACTGTGTGTTTTCAATTTATATACTAAGTAAAATGTTTCCAGTTTCCAAGGAACACACACTACCTAAAATTTCCAGCTAGCAACACTGGCCCCTGAGTTATAAGTACCACATACTGCTGACCCATAGCTAAATACTTCTTAAAGGATTATTGTATAGTGTTTTACAATTATTCTTCCTATCTGTTTGGTTGTTCTAGTTTCATTCACTTTGTATATCATCAAGATGTTTTGCACTATTCTAATTAGGGGAAATTTACTTAACGCACTAAGATCAAAGGTCAGTGAAATGTAAATGTTCAGACTACATTTGGCAGCATTGGTATGTGTTGCTTAACATGATTTAATCAACTTTTTATAACACATTTTTAAGGACCTATGCAGCCTATAATTTGTAATTTTTTTTCTTTTCTTTATCTACCTGTCATGAGTGTCTAGTGATTATGATCCATCACAGCTGCTGATCTCATTTCAACATCCTGGTTTTGGCTATGATGCACTCACCCTGTCTGTCTGTCCACCTGCAAGGTGATTGTCATGGCAAGTCTCTCAGTGGAGATCAAACCTAACTTAAGCCAGCCAAGCCTGCAGCAGTCTCATGCTTATGATATTGCGTTTCTAACACATGCTGGAAGCTCCTTGTCTGTCTGTCCTGCTCTGCTGTTTGGATTCCCTTGTTCATTACCTCAGGTCAGACATCAACTACTCTCTGAACTCTGCCTACCTTTTGACTATGGATCTGACCCTGACTGTCCTGAATCTTGCCTGCCTTGTACCTGGACTGTCATTGAAGCACTCTGCCTGTTTGCCAACTGCAAGTATTTGTTTGCTGTACTAAGATTGCACCTGCCCCAGCGTGGTGGCTGGACACCATAGCATTGTGTATAAGTCCTGGGGGAAACCGAGTACTTGTAGGCCTGCTTGCCTCATGGGAAAGGAGGCTGCTATAGGTGTAAAACACAGAAGCCAGCTATAGTGTCTGACCACCTGTGTTAGAGATAAGTGTGACACTACCAAGAACTTTAAAACAGACAAATAGACAAAATGTTTTTTTTATTTTACATATAATAGTTCTTAAGCACCTTTTCAAAGTTTTAATAAACTTTTCATACACTAAATTGCACTGTGATAACAGCAGCTTGATGGCTTTAGCTCTTTCTGTGCCTCTGTCTTTTCAAGTCACATTGATGGCCAAAACATGTAAGGTTGGTTTTCAAATGATAGTGCACCATCTTAATGGGTCTCAGTATCTCCCTATGGACTACATATCAAGTTACCTTCAGCACAAAATATACTGCGTGACAAAGGTTTCCCAGAGCACTATTGGTTTTCTAAAGAGATAGCACTGAACTTTGTACTAGGGATGAGTCACTGCTGTGATGACTTATTAAAGTTCTGTAAACAACAAGATTATTTCAGCATAAGTAAAAGATGATACAGTTGAATGTATGAAAAGGAAACTAGAACTCCATCTGCTTGGTTGATATAAAATCGTATAATATGATTACACAATAATTAATAAATACCTGATCTAAAGATAAAAGTGGTATCCTTTAAAGAAGACCAATGCCCTAAGTAACAGTAAGAGGATTACTTTAATTGTGCAGCCTTTACTAAGAGAACAAGCATAGTTATTGGTTTCTGGGCCACACATTCCTTTGTAATGACATTGATCCAAAATTAGTTCTAGAATATGTTATTGAAATAACAATTTCATTTGAAAAGAAGACCATTAATTTCCATATTACTAAAATTTGTTGATGACACAGCAGCTGTGTAAGATACTACAGTCAAACCCAGCAAAGTGAAAACTAATATAATTCCAAAATTGTTTTACAAATACAAAAATTTGAGGTAAAGGAGGATGAATAATTGCAGCAAATTAAATCTGCTTAGTTGTTAAGGATTAAGAGGCTGATATTTTAGAAGGAGAGCAGGCTGTAGGCGAAGGAAGGACACTAGAGATGAGAAAAAAGGGGGCGGGTTTTTGTTTATAAAATTTGATTTTATGCTCTTAACAAAGTCAAGCAATCAGTATATAGTCTGCTAATGTAACCCAGTATAATACAAGTTATAATTAGTTTCCAAAACATGCTGCATACAGACAGATAATTTAACTCTGTATAGTACTTCTTAAAAATTTCTTTTTATGACAAGCTACACACACACACATTGAATCGAATATCGAGTAGGGTTAATTTGTGTAGTAATATGCTATATTATGCCAGTATTACTGTTATCAGTGTGTATATTGTTTGTATAGTTTGTTTTAGATTATATATAATGTGTTTAGTTTTGAATGTTTTCTCATGTATTCTGATCATAGATTTTGAAATATGCTACTAACACATTCTAAACCCCTATTTAATCTGAGCAACACATCCTAAAATAATATGATAGTGCTCTAAATAGTTGCTGCTAAAACACTGTTAGTGACTTCACAACACCTGCACCAAAATGAATAACAATAAAGTGTAGCAAAATAGACTAATTTCTCATATAAAAATAAATATTAAACAATAATTTAAGTCCCACAAAAAGTCTCTTATAACACCACTGTGCAATGTTTATAAGATAAATCTCTCTCTTCTTCAGTGCCAACTGTGCCACCACCATTAGGTGAAACACCTGCTCACCTCACTTTATGACCTCATCAATAGGTCATTATGTGCTCAACATGTGGACAGACTTGGGTACACCCTCTGTGCTCTTCCTCTGCATGACATATGGAAACGTCTGAGATAAAAAAGCTTCCTGCATTTACTAGATGATGAGCTAAACTCTGGGTCTTCCCTATATCTAGACTGTGAGATATGCTACTTGTCACAGTCTTTAAAGTGGAAGTAAAGTCAACTATTTAAAAGTTGCTGACATGCAGGGTATTTATGACAGAAGAGACCCTATTAGGCTTCTCTGCCATAAATGCATCCTCCTGCCTGTAGGCTGTCATGTACACTGGGCTAGCCATGCACACACAGCTCAATGAACATTTACAACCCCTGATCTGTGCTGCGGTGATGTGACTCCAGTGAGCATGGTGGGAGTGATGTAATCTCGGCTCGGCCTATCACAAAGCCAAAGACGGGACCAGGTATGAAGACCAGGCAAAGATGGAAGCTCTGGGGGCTCTCCAGATCAATCCCACCACAGCTCTGGAGGGCACCATTTAACAGGTATGTCTACCATAATGTACTAATATGCCATGCATACTAAGACATGGCATAACTCACCTGGGGGGCCCCAAATCAAATGTTTACAGAGAAGTTTACTACTACTTTAAACTGAAAAAAGTTCATGGGAAGAGCTATCATGTCTTTTGTTTTAAGTTGTAACTATTTTGTTAGCAAATGATTGAGAGCAGTGGTGTATTTGAGTGACTTCAGTGTGTTTCCTTTCAGTGTGCACTGCAATTAGCTGAATTCTCAATACTGTGTAGTGCATTCACATGTAGATATGTGTATGGAGATGTGTATGTATGCGTACTATTAAGAGAAAAGTTGTTTTTGAATTACATCTTGGAGCGGCATTGTTGAAAAAGCAGTGTGATCATATATCTGCACTTTGTTATTGTGGATAGAGGGAGAGTGCTGCAATCATTAGTTAATCCTCCTATGAGAAGTAAAGACACTACAGAGGCTAGATTGGATTGTGAAGAGATTTATTGAATTGTTACTAGTCTGGCAGTTTGGGAAGTGCTAGCTTTTCTTTTGGTTTTCTGCTTGTAATACTTGCTGTAATACTTAGTGTATTTGCTGGTTGCATCCCAGAGGAAGAGCACAAATTACCATCAGTTTTTTTTATTTACAAATAAAATATACCTCTCTCCCAAAAATAAATCTAAAACCCCAAACACAAACTCTGGGGAAAAAAAAAAAGAAGAAAAAAATATATATGTATATATATTTATACAGTGTATATGTGTATATATATATATATATATATATATTGAAAGTGATCATTCATTTTAATTTTCATGGGACAATGATTTTAACTCCAATTCTACTACATTACCTTGTTACTAGCAAAGTATCACAGATGTCTCATTGTTCATCACATCACATCACTGCTATATATCCTCAGGATAAAAATTGCCAAATTTCAAGTGTCATACTTCTGCAGTTATCACATTTTCAATTTTTAACATACTTCTTTAGCAATCTGTCACAATCTGTGATGAGAAGTGACTCACTATGAGCAAAAGTTTTCAAACGGCCTCATTTACCTCCATTTCCTGTTAGGAAACAGGTTACATAACATGAG